GAACCTAATAAATATTTACAGAACATTCTACCCAAGAACTGCAAAATATATGTTCTCATTAGTACATGGAACAGTCTGCAAGATAAACCATATCATAAGCCTCAAAATATGACTCAATAAATTTTTTTAAATCCAAATTATATCAAGTATATTCTCAGACCACAGTGGAATAAAACTAGAAACCAACTGCAAAAGAAACCCTCAGAACCGTATAAATACATGGAAATTAATTTGCTTCACAATAATTTTGGGGTTAACAATGAAATCTAGAAGAAAAGTTAAAAAATTCTTTGAAATGAATGATAATAGTGACATAAGTTATCAAAACCTCTGGGAAACAGCAGAAGCAATATAAGAGGAAAGTTTATAGTACTAAATGCCTGCATCAAAAAATCTGCAAGGTCACAAATTGACAATCTAACACACACCTCAAGGACCTAGAGAAACAAGAACAAACCCAAAGCTAGTAGAAAGTAAGAAATAACAAAGATCAAAGCAAAACTAAATGAAATTAAACATAAAAACAATATAATAGATTAATGAAACAAAAAGTTACTTCTTTGAAAAGATAAACAAAATCAATAGACCATTAGCTAGATTAACCAAGAGAAGATTCAAACATTGTTAGAAATGAAAATAGCGACATTACAATGACACCACAGAAATACAAAAGATCAAAAGAAATACAAAATTTGTGACTACTATGCACACAAACTAAAAAATCTAGAGGAAGTGGATAAATGCTTGGAAACATGTAACCCTCCTAGCTTGATTCAGGAAGAAATAGAAATCCTGAACAGACCAATAGCAAGCAGCGAGATTGAGTCAGTAATTAAACAATTGCCGACACCAAAAAAAGCCCAGTGCTAGTTGGAGTTACGGGCCAAAGAGTTGGTACCAGTCCTACTGATACTATTCCAAAAGACTCAGAAAGAGGGAATCTTTCCTAACACATTCTATCAAGACAGTATCACCCTGATACCAAAGCCAGGAAAGGATACAACCAAAAAAAAAAGGGAAAACAGACCAATATCCCCGATGAACATAGATGCAAAAATTCTCAACAAATACTATAAAGCCAAGTCAAACAGCACATCAAAAAGATAATTCAAGTCGGGTACAGTGGCTCACACCAGTAATCCCAGCACTTTGGGAGGTCAAGACAGGAGGATTGCTTGAGCTCAGGAGTTCAGAACTAGCCTGAGCAACATGGTGAAACACTATTTCTACAAAAAAAAAAAAATATATATATATATATATATACATTTGATGGGTGTGGTAGTGTGTACCTATAGTCCCAGTTACTCAGGAGGCTGAGGTGGGAAGATTGCTTGACCCCCAGAAGTCAAGGCTGCAGTAAGCCATGATTGTGCCACTGTACTCCAGCCTAAGTGACAGAGAGAGACCTTTTCTAAAAAATAACAGTAGTAATAATAAAAATTCACCGTGATCAAATAGATTTCATCCCAGGGATGCAGGAATGGTTCAACATATGTAAGTCAATAAATGTAATTCAGCTCATAAACATAATTAAAAACAAAACCCACATGATCATCTCAACAGACGGAGAAAAAGCATTAAATGAAATTCAGCATCCCTTTATGATAAAAATTCTCAACAAACTAGACATAAAAGGAATACACCTCAAAATAGTAAAAGCCATTTATGACAAACTCATAGCCAACATCATACTGAATAGGGAAAAGGTAAAAGCATCCACCCTAAGAACTGGAACAGCACAATGATGCCCACTTTCACCACTTGTGTTCAACATAGTTCTGGAAGTCCTAGCCAGAGCAATTAGGCAAGAGAAAGAAATAAAGGGCATCCAAATTGAAAAAGAAGAAGTCAAACTATCTCTGTTTGCCAATGATATGATTGTATACCTAGAAAATCCTAAAGACTTCTCCAAAAGGCTGTCTATAAATGAATTTATTAAAGTCTCAAATTACAAAATCAATGTACACAAATTAGTAGTATTGCTATATACCAACAACAACCAAATTGAGAATCAAATCAAGAACTCAATCCCTTTTACAACAGCAATAAAGAAATAAAATACCTAGGAGTATTAGGAGTATGCTTAACCAAGGAGATGAAAGATCTCCACAAGGAGAAGTACAAAACGCCGCTGAAAGAAATCATAGATAATACAAACAAATGGAAATACATCCTGTGCTCATGGATTGGAAGAATCAATATTACGGAAATGATCATACTGCCCAAGGCAATCTACAGGTTCAATGCAATTCTTATCATCATCATCAAAATACCAACATCATTTTTCAAAAAATTAGAAAAAAATACTAAAATTCATATAGAAACACAAAAAAGCCTGAATATCCAAAGTAATCATAAGCAAAATGAACAAATCTGGAGGTATCACATTACCTGACTTCATACTATAAGGCTATAGTAACCAAAACAGCATGATACTGATATAAAAGTAGATACATAAATCAATAGAACACAATAGAGAACCTAGAAAGAAAGCCAAATACTTACAACCAGTTGATCTTTGACAAAGCATACAGAAACATAAGTTGGGGAAAAGGCACCCTATTCAGTAAATGGTGCTGGGAAAACTGGATAGCCACATGTAGAAGAATGAAACTGGATCTCTGTCTCTCACCATACCAAAAATTAATTCAAAATAGATTAAGATTTAAATCTTAAGACCTGGAACCATAAACATTCTAGAAGAAAATCTAGGAAAAACTCTTCTGGATATTGGCCTAGGCAAAGAAATTAAGACTAATATCCCAAAAGCAAATGCGATAAAAAGAAAAATAAATAAGTGGGACCTAATTAAATAAAAAAGCTTCTGCACAACAAAAGAAATAATCATCAGAGTAAACACACACTCCATGGAATGGGACAACATATTTGGAAACTATACTTTCAACAAAGGACTAATATCCAGAATCTACAGGGAATTCAAACAAATCGGCAAGAAAAAACACAAATACTCCCATCAAAAAGTGAGCAAATGACATAAATAGACATTTCTCAGAAGAAAACATGCAAATGGCAAACAAACATATGAAAAAAATGTTCAATATCACATATCACCAGGGAAATGCAAATTAAAGCCACAATGAGATACCATCTTGCCCCAGCCAGAATGACCATTATTAAAAAATTAAAAACAACAGATATTGACATGGATGTGTTGAAAAGGGAATACTTATACACTGCTGGTGGGAATGTAAATTAGTACAATCTGTATGGTAAGCAGTATGGAGATTTCTCAGAGAACAAAAAGTAGATCTACCATTTGATCCATCAATCCCATTTTTGGGTGTCTACCCACAGAAAATGAAGTAGCTATATTAAACAGGCACATGCCCGTGTATGTTTGTCACAGCACAATTCATAATTGCAATAATCAGCCTAAATGCCCGTCAACTGATGAGTGGATAAAGAAAATGTGTATATATAACCATGGAATACTACTTAACCATCAAAAAGAATGAAATAGTGTCCTTTGCAGCAATTTGGATGTAGCTAGAGGCCATTATTCTAAGTGAAGTAATTTAGGAATAGAAAACCAAATACTGTATTTCTTATAAGTGGGAGCTAAGGTATGGGTATGCAAAGGCATAAAGAGTGGTATAATGGACATTGGAGACTCGTGCTACTTTATATAAGCATCCACCCCATCCCTGTCCTCTAGCATCCACTGATCGTTTATCTATCTCTATAGTTTTATCACTTGGAGAATGGTATATAAATGTAACCATACAGATTTTAACCATTTGAGGTCAGTATTTTCTAATAATAGCCTTGAGATCCATCCAGGTTGTTTATTACACAAATTTACTCTTTTTTTTGCTGAGTTGTATTCCATTGCATGAATGTACCAGAGTTTAACTATTCACCCATTGAAGGATGTTGGGTTGTTTTCAATCTTGGCAGCTGCAAATAAAACTGCTGTGAACATTCATGAACAGATTTTTGTGTGAACATAAATTTTCATGTCAGATGAATGCCCAAGAATGTGACCGCTGCATCATATGGCAAATGCATGTTTACTTTTTTTTTTTTTTTTGAGACGGAGTCTCGCTGTTGTTAACCAGACTGGAGTGCAATGGCACAATCTCGGCTCACCGCAATCTCCGCCTCCTGGGTTCAAGCAATTCTCCTGCCTCAGCCTCCCGAGTAGTTGGGATTACAGGCGCGCACCACCATGCCCAGCTAATTTTTGTATTTTTAGTAGAGACAGGGTTTCACCTTGTTGACCAGGATGGTCTCAATCTCTTGACCTTGTGATCCACCCGCCTCGGCCACCCAAAGTGCTGGGATTATAGGCGTGAGCCACCACACCTGGCCATGCATGTTTACTTTTAAGAGAAACTGCTATGTTATTTTCCAGAGTGTTTGTACCATTTTATATTCTACCAGTAATGTATAAGTCATAACGTTTCTCCTTATCTTAGCCAGTATTTGGTATTATCACCATTTTTTATTTTAGTCATTCTCTTAGATGTGTAATGATGTATCATTTTTATTTGCATTTTCCTAACAGCTAATGTTGTTTAACTTGTTTTCATGTGCTTATTTGCCATTCCTATTTCATTCCTGGTAAAATGTCTCTTCATATCTTTTTCCCATTTTCTAATTGGATCATTTGTTTATTTTGCTTTTGGGATTTGAGAGTTATTTATATTCTAGAGAAAATTTCTTGTTGGGTATGTCATTTGCAACTGTTTTCTCTAGTCTGAACATTGTTCTTTCATCTTCTTAACAGGCGTTTCATAGAGCAGAAGTTTTATTTTTTGATAAAACCAAGTTTATCAAATTTTCCTTTATGGTTTTATTGACTTTTAAATGCTCATATATTGAAGAAATTAGTTCTATGACTGTCAGATGTATTGTAAATATTTTTCCAATTTATGGAACTTTGTTTCATACAAAAATTATTCTTCCATTGTATAGTCAAATTCATAATCATTTTAAGGTATTACTTGTTTTGTGCTATGAGTTTCCTAAACCTTCTCTTTAAAATTCTCTTCTCCTTTGGCTTCTGTAATATGCTCCCTGATTTTGTTTAGCTGCCCCAAAATGTAAACCTCTACAAAAAGTTTTCAGTTATTGACATCTTAATACACTCATTTTTTTCTCTCTCTACATTTTTTTCATCCTATCTCATAACTTCATCTGCAACTTCTGGCTTTGACTTATATTTCTAGCTCCAGCTGATGGGACATTTTTATATGGCTATCATTCCAACACCTCAAAGTCAAATGTCCCCTCAAAAAATTATTTTTCCCTGCCCTTTGGTTACGAATGTTCCCATCATCCTAGGCAGGAAACTGTAGCATCATGCTAACCTTTTTTTGTTTGTCTTATAAACATATCAGTGGTCAGAAATTCCTACAAGTTTTTTCCTAAAATCTTCTCCATGGTTTAGATGTCAGTCATCACTAATCTGAGATGTTATACTTGCCTTCTAAACAGTGTTCCTAGTGTTCTCTTTCAGTCCATTATATTCATTATCATCAGTGTTATCTCTCTGGGACATAGTCCAAATATGTCATTCTTCTGCTCATAATCCTACAATAAAAGAGAAAAGTAAAAGGATATAATATTAAAGATAAAAAGTTATATGGAACTCTGGGTATCTGAGACTAAATATTTTATAAAGGAATATTATTTGCAACTCTATGACAATATATTAAAAATATGGAAGAAATTAATGTTTTCCCAGAAAAATATAAATTATCAAAATGGAATACATAGAAAACCTGAATAGATCAGTAATCATGGAAGAAACAGAGAACATATACCATTTGAATAAGCACCCAGTCTTAGTTGTTATAGAGGGAAAAGAAATGAATACAAACTTTCATACTATGCAAATTTTGTATAATAAATTTACAGCCTAATAAATAGAAAGGTTTCAAAACCAACATAAACAAGTTCCACTTCATAAATAGGGCCAGGCGAAGCAAGAGATTGAGACTGGGCAATTTCATTCTTGTTTCTTTTGAATTAATGACCTTTAAAAATTTTTTTTCTCAATAAAATCCCTTGCATATAGAAACATGAAACAAAAACAGAGTGTTTGTGGGATTTATTGGCTTTTTTTTTTTTTTTTTTTTTTGGCATAATTTTTGTACTCTGGAAGCCTCCAGATGGCAGCATTTTACTTGGGAAGGTGTTCAGTGCTTGCAGTGCATTTTGATTTATAGCAGCACCCAAGTCAGGCTGTCAACAGTGGGAGGGGATGGAAGACAAAGTAGTAGATGTGTTTCAAGATATTCTTACCTTTCGCACTCTTCTCTGATTTAACATCCACAGAGATCCTCTGTAAATTGGCAGTTGAGGTAAGCAGTTTCCCTACAGTCAATAAAAAACAGACATTTTATTCCAGCTGCCTTTGTACCACCCCACAAAGATTAAACAGCTGATTTTTGTGTTCCCGACATACCATTTGCACAAAAACTATTTTTATTTTTCATCTTGAAAATTAGGTAGGAAAGAGTCAATATTACACAATTGCAGGAACATTAGTCCTTGCCCAAATTGCTGAAATGCGCTACTTCTTGCCTCTGTAGAGCCTCTTCAAAGTCCATATCATATCACTCTCCCATTCCCAGCCTATGCCTTCTCATCACAACTAAAGTAAACCCAACCTCCTTAAAATGATCTGCAAGGCCCTACAGGATCTGGCCCTCTCCCTGACCTCATCTTCTGCCATACTCCCTCTCTTGTCTGCTCACTTGGTGGTAGCCACCATGGTCTTGATGTTTTTTGAACACAAATGCTTGTTCCACCTGGGGTCTTTGCACTTCTCTATTGTCTCTCTGATTTTTGCATAGTTTGTGTTCCCATTAAAGTCTCTTCTCAGGTGTCACTTCTTTGGAGAGGATTTCCCTGATGACTGCCCCCTTTCCCAACCTTATCCTCCCCTGCTTTTTTCTCCCTCAGAAGAATAGAAGTACTGAAAAATTTATTGTGTCTTTGTCATAAAGTATGTAAATACCATAGAACTCTAGGACACAGATTGTTTACTCTTGCCTCCCCAGAACTAAAAAAATGCCTGATACATATTAGGTACTCAATAACTACTTGTTGACTGAGTAGAAGAATGAAGCAAAGTTCAGTCCTGATATGTCTACACCATCTCTTTTGACACGTTGTATGGCAGATACTTGGAAAGTAGCAGCCCAGTCCTAATCAGGTGGTCTTATTAATGCTAGCTCATTAAATTTCTTAGATACCCATTATCTTATACTTTTATTTCTTAAATTAATTTTAATTTTAAAAAATCAAATCTCCCCAAAGTTGTCACTAAAACAAAAATGGTCAGATAAGTGACAGAGATATTTTTAGCATTTATATAATTGAAAACACATTGAAATTAGCATTAGATTATTCTATAATAGATCTGTAGAACTAATTCTTAAATAAAGTTTATTTTACTGAGAAGTTATGTAAGTTACCAAAAAGAACTTGTCACCTGCATCGAAAGACTGTTTGCAGGACAAATCCTGGATGATATTTTGTCTGCAAAACAACTCTGAAGCATAGAATATTCAGGCTGCAAAGAGAAGACTGTAAATAATTAAGATGTAAATTTGATTATGGCTGTGTTCCCATTACGGTTCTTTTTATGGTAATAGCAGTATTTTATGTCCTCAATTTATAAGTGGAACTGCATCCAGATATAAGTATGTGGAAAAAGAAGTTCTGAAAATTTCTTGTAAATAAAAAGCAATTTATTAAATACTATTCCCATCTGTATGGATCTAGTTATACTCCCAAATTTCAGTTTTGTAACTACATAGAATTCCAAAATTAAAACATAATAATTTAAGTAATATGATATTCTAAAAGATGGTATAATAATTTTGTAAATTCTTCTTTAGTAACAATAAACAATCTTTAAGCTGAAATATATTAAATACCTTAAGTAGAATTGAGGACTTAATTTTTCATATTACTTTACTGAGTGTCCCTATCTGTCGTTTTTCTAAATGCTATTACCTTAATTTGTATTTTTATTTTTAAAAATTATTTTGATGATTTTGTTCATGCTTATAACTAATTAAAGCTTTAATCTATTAAGAGTTTACAATGTGCTAGGCATTGTACTAAGCACATTCAAATTACCTGATTAAGACTCATGGATTAGTCTTAGAATCCAGTTACAATTTATAATAAATTTGCAATGTAAAAATGAGCTTCAACTTTAAAAGCACTGACTTACAAATGGAGTATGTTAACACAATGTATTTATAAGTAGAGAACTATCTGAACTGGGTGACTGCAACTTTCAATGAATGGAAACCTATGCAGCATGAGAAACTGAATCAAATTAGAATAATGTATGTGGAGAATACTAGAGCTCTTTCATATCTTATCTTCATGCAGCATTCTTTGCATTTAAAGATACTACTGCTGACAGACAGTATTGCTTTCTGTGTATTTGCAAGACTACAAAGGCTGATGCATGTGTGACTTGCAGTTACTTTCACAATAAGCATTATCTATGTGAATTCGGTCTGTGGATTGTTGTGTGGCAAAGTTCTTTGGCAGCAGTGTCTCTACTCTGTGTTAAAGGTTGTCTTTGCCCAAGCAGCCATATCATCTCTGATTGCCATAGCTTGTATGTTTTCTGCTGCTATTGTGTCTATACAATCTGCACTGATATGAGACCTTGTTAGTATTCTTTGGCTTACTCTTACCTTGACTCACCACACATTAGTTCACCACAGGGAAGTCATGATGATGGAGATTTCCCAAATCTCCTTAAAGTCACATGACACAAGATGGCAACTTATTCTTCTGGCATGCCAAGATGGATATAATGGTAATCTGTGGTTTATCCCTGCTCAGCATCTGTTTCCTTACAATGAGGTAAAATCAACTCCTTTGGGAACTGACCCTCCTCTGTTGATTCAATTAAGGCCCATGATACTACTGGGGCTAAACCACACTCTGAAGCCAGTGATTGGTACACGACAGTTGAATATAATATATGTCTTGACTATTAAGACTTGTTAAAGAGTAGGCCTGTGACCTAAGCAGGCCAGTCACAGCCATGAACATAACTCTAGGACTTTCTGCTGGAACCACTGGGAAAGAAACACTGTCTTTGTTTTATGTGGTAGCTAAGCCTAGACTTGCTTGTAGCCATTTTGACGCCACTTGAGGTTAGCCTAAGAATGAAGGCAGCATAGGGGAAAGCAAGCTGGGAGGTGAAGAACATACGAACTATATTTTTGAGCACCTAGATCTAGCTTCACCTGAGGCCAACAATAAACCCTTAACATTTTAGGTTAGCTTAGCTACTGGATTGGGTTATATCTTTTGCAACCAGAAGAATCTTGAGTAACTCAGTAGGGATGACCACAAACTGAATCTCAAAAGCAGTTATGTGCCTATGCACGCCTTCCCCCAAAAGTAGTCATATTGTTAATGCTGAAGAGTGGGCCTTGAAATTAATTGCTGGCATATCCCTGAAGATCAGAAAGTGAAATGCAGATTGCTAGTGGTTTATTTGGAATTCTACATTAGTGTCATGTATCCTTTTCATAAAACTGGAGTAGTGGAGAGTACTGATTACGGAAATGCTTGTGCTACAGCATGATGTCAGCTCTACAGTCCTAAAGCAAATCTTAGTATTTTGTTGACAGGTACCATAATTAATAAATAAATGGGGAAATCCCAGTTGAGGTACCAAATTGTTCTCATGTGATGGACATACTTTTGAATTTAGACTCTGCTTTCTAGCTTTGTAATGTGGCCAAGTTACATAACCTTTCAGCCACAGTTGCCTCATATTTAGAGTAGGACTGATAATAGTCCTGCCTAATAGGGCTTTTAAAAAAACTAAACAGGTTAATTTGGGGAACAAGCTTAGAACAGTGTCTGGGTATAATAAGTACTCAAAGTGCATTGGTTATGTTATTTCTCATTAATTTTAGACATCGCATCATTGCCCCAGAGAGGAACCCAGGATTCTCACACCATGACACCATCCCCATGTTTCTCCAGCCACATTTGGACATGGATCAACAGCCTAAGGTATCAATGCAAGATTCTATACTAGACCTGAGAAGGTTGTCAGTTTTTTGTGGGTTAATGGTTAATATAGAAATTCAACAAAGTATGACTGCTATATCAGGATTATATTCAGCCTTGAAGCAATTTCCATTTTTATATGTTCATTTAGACCAGTTTGTATGCTATTTGAAATCAATGAGAAGAGAATTGTGATGGCAAGAAATCTGCCTGGTTAAAAAAAGAAAGAAAGAAAGAAAAAAATATATGTTTTCTTAGACTATATATGGCTTTAAACATTTTTATTTAGAACTTTTTATTTTTCTGAAAATATGTGATTATAGCATTACAATGAAGACATTATGGTTGTACAGTAGCCTTCATTGAGCTCTCTTGTAGCAAATATTAGACATATCTAGTGTAAGTAAAACCACATGTTATAATTGGAAACTATATTACACAAAAAAGGATGTAATATTTGAAATTGGTCAGAAAATCAGAGAAAGGTTGACCTTTTGGCATGTTTTTAAGCTATACTCCTTTGGATAGTATTGCACAATATGAATTTCTGTTACAGGAACAAAATTATTAAAGAGTGAAAACAATGTATTATAATAATGTAATGAAGATTTTTTTACTGAGTTAATTGATCTCAATTTCAGGTAAATAATTACCCACATCTCTCAACTTAAGGCTGCTTTGAATACTTTTTCTGCCTCCTTTTTCATTGTCATTCTGTCAGCTATCACATATTACAACTGTCAGATGCCCGAGTCTAGAAGCTACCCCTTTTAATTTCTTGCTTCTAATCTGCAGTGAAGAAAGAAATTGGATTTTTAAGTGAAAGTCTGAGAGTTTTCTAATGGTTAATTGGATGACCTTAGTGTGTGGTTTTGTGATTTTTTTTCCCCCCCTGAATACTCAAGGCTGCTTATTGCTTGCTTCTGGTTTTCTCAACCATGTCTAGATGAGGATATGACCTTTGGTTAAGTGAAGTGCTTTTATAACAAATTTACAATTTCAGGAAATTTCTATGTAGATAAGCTTTGTACTTATGCATAATTAATTTTCCTTTGCTCATGATCTTCCAATGGGGTGTTTAACGTCAGTAAGAAATAAATCTAGACTCTATGTTATGTACTGGTTGCTCTTCCAAGTTAATACTTAGCCCACTAACCAATCCAAGACAATCATTGGCCTCATCATTGTTCTCTGAATATACCTTGCTTACTCTTGCCCATATGCAATCTTTTAAGCTATTGCTTGGAGGGAAGGCACCTTTTCCTACCTTCTAAGCCATCTCACATTCTAATGTTTCCATGACTCTAAGTCTGGACTACATAGATTCACTTATTCTACTTCCCTGTAACTACTTCCCCATGCATTGCAGGTGAGGGGGCTGATCAAATACTATGAATTATTGTTCTCTACGTGAGGGTATATGTGCTTAGCATCTCTAAGTATGCTATTACCTACTCTGAGTAAATGTACATTCTTTCTGTAGTACAGAGAAGAGAAGAGCATTATTAACATCCTCTTTATATTATTTTAATCATCTTGTATTATGTCTGGTAGACAATAGATGACACCTATTCAGTCAAGGATGACAGAACAACAGACAGGATGGCTAGTGATTTGAGAAAAAAATGTTGGCCCTTCTTTGTACATATCTTTGTTCCTCCTCAAACAAGCCTTCTTTGTATAAAGATGTCTGGAAATTGTCACATTACATAGGAGTGGGTAGAAAAAAGCAATTCCTTTACCACTAATGTACATTTGTGCAGGGCTTCGAAGGCAGCTTGAGCTCAAAGGATTCAGTTGCATACATGATAGTTGAGGTAACAGGTCCACCTATAGATACTAGATTAGTTCAAGTGCCTTTTTTTCATAGGATTTCTTGTCTCAGACATGTGGTCTAGATATATGACTAATATAGCTCTCTAATTGTGGATCTTTTATACTTTCAACTTTAGAAGAACATCTTTTTTGTAATTCTGTTATTCCCATCTCAATCTTTATGTTATGTCAAAGGGAATCTTTACCAATGTGTTTCTTTACTGTTTTGAAACCGCTCTGATGGGAAAAAATGGTGGTTTTTTTTTTTGTTATAATCCAGAGGAAGCTTATTTTATTTTTATTCTAACCATTTGTTAATGCGTCACATAAATCCCTTAGGTTTTCTTGACCTAAATTTCAAGTATTATAAAAAAAAAACTCACAACATGGTTAACAATTATTAGAAATGAATAAAATTTTTTGTGAAATCACTTCATCCTCCCAATTCCTGAATCTAGTATAGAGAGCTGTCTGGAGTCCATGTGGCTACACATTGCTCCAGAGAGAGTATGTATGGCCCCTAAGCTGCTGCAAGATGGTGCCATTTTGAAAGAACAGCCAACACTGGACTTTTATCCTGCCCTGGGGTCCAATAGTCTCTATACTGCCACATCCTTAGGACCCCACCAAGATCCCTCCACATCCACCCAGAGGGTTGCAGTATCATGGCACTGCCTGGACCCAGTAGTACAGCTATGTCCTTGGCATCTGAGCCCATGCAACATCCTACTCCCTGAGAAACAGGTGGTTGAACACATCAATGAGTTTGCCCAAAGCATAGGGAACCACAGCATTAACAGAATAAAGGACAAAATCATATGATCATCTCAATGGAACTAAAAATAAGCATTTGAAAAATTCAATATTCCTTCATAATAAAAACTCTCAACAAACTGACTATATAAGCAACATACCTCAAGATGATAGAGGTCATATATGACAAATCCACAGTTAACATCATACTGATGGGGAAAATTTTATAGCCTTTCCCCTAAGATATGGAACAAGACAAAGACTTTTACTACTTTTATTGAACATAGTTTTGGAAGTCTTAGCCAGAGAAAGAAAGGGCATTGAAACTGGAAAGAAAAAGGTCAGATTATCCTTATTTGCAGATGACATGATCTTACATTTAGAAGAACCCAAAGTTTCTGTCAATAGACACTTAGAAACTGATACTTGAATTCAATAGAGATGCAGAATAGAAAATCAGCATACAAAAAGTAGTAGCATTTCTATTTGCCAACAGTGAACAATCTGAAAAGGAAATCAAGAAAGCAATCCCATTTATAATAGCCACAAAAAAAAAACCTAAGAATAAACTTAACCAAAGAAGTGAAAGATTTCTACACTGAAAACTATAAAATACAGATGGAAGAAATCAAGAAGACACAACAAAAATGAAAAGATATCCCAGGTTCATGGATTGGAATAATTTAATATTGTTAAAATGTCCGTACTACTCAAAGTAATCTATCTACAGATTCAATGCAATCCCTATCCAAATACCAATGACATTTTTCACAAAAATAGAAAAAACAATTTCAAAATATGTTTGAAACCACAAAAGATGTGAATAGTCAAAACAATCATGAGTAAAATGAACAAGGCTGGAAGCATCAGACTACCTGACTTCAAAATATACAGCAAAGATATAGTAACCAAAACAACATGGCACTGGCATAAAAACAGACACACAGAACAATAGAATAAAATAGAGAGCCCAGAAATAATATGTGTTTACAGGTAATTCATTTTTAGCAAAGACACCAAGAACATACACTGGGGAAAGGACAGTTTCTTCAATAAATGGTGCTGGGAAAACTGGATATCCATATGCAGAAGAATAAAACTAGACCCCATACTAGACCTCACCATATATTAAAATCAAATTAAAATGGTTGAAGGCCTAAATGTCAGATCCAGAACTATGAAACTATTATTAGAAAAAAACACAGGGGAAACATTTAGGACATTGGTCTGGGCAATGATTTTTGGGGTAAGACCTCGAAAACACAGGTTACAAAAGCAAAAGTAGAAAAACAGCATCATATTGGGGAATTCTGCACAGCAAAGGAAACAATTAAGACAGTGAAGAGATAATCTACAAATGGAAGAAAATGTTTGAAAACTACTCCTCCAACAAGGGGTTAATAAGCAGAATATATAAGGTAGGCAAACAACTTGACAGCAGAAAAAAATCAAATAGATTTAAAAATGGGCAATTGATCTAAATAGTTCACAAAAGGGAACAGAGAGATGGGCAACTGGTAAATGAAGAAAATGCTCAAGACATTATTAATCATCAGGGAAATGAAAACCACCATGAGATTTCTCACTGTAGTTAAAGTGGCTATTATTTTAAAAACAAAAAAATAGATGCTGGCAAGGACGTAGAGAAAAAGGAATGCTTGTACAACATTGGTAGGAATGTAAATTAGTACAGCCATTATGGAAAATCATATGGTGGTTCCTCAAAAAACTAAAACTAGAGCTATCACATGATCCTGCAATCCCACTACTGGGTATATATCCAAAAGAAAGGAAACTAATATATTGAAGAAATATCTGCATTTCCATGATTATCATAGCAGTATTCACAATAGTCAAAATGTAGAATTGACCTAAGTATCTATCAGTGGATGAATGGATAAAGAACATGTGGTATATGTATACAATAGATTACTATTGAGCCATACAAAAGAATGAAATTCTGTCATTTTCAACAACATGGATGAGCCTGGGTACATTATATTACTTGTAATTAGCAAGGCACAGAAAGACAAATATCACATGTTCATACTGTTTTTTTTAGCAAAAAGAACAAAACTTTTCTGGGAGCTAAAATGAAAGTTGATCTCAAGGAGGTAGAATGGTGGTTACTAGAGGCTGAGAGGGGTTTGGTTAATGGGTACAAAAATACTGTTAAAAGGAAAGGTTCTAGTGTTCAAAAGCATAGTCAGGTAACTTTATCAATAATTTATATTTCAAAATAGTTAGAAGATTTAGAATATTGTCAACACAACTGATAAATGTTTAAGGTGATGGATATTCCAATTACCCTGATTTGATCATTACACATTATATTCATGTATCAAAATATCACATGTTCCCCATAAATATATACAATAGTCATGGATCAGTAAAAAAAAGTAGCAGACTGACAAAAAATCCTTCCTGAAGTAAAA